ATAAGCGTTTAAACTTAAACGTAATTTTTCCGCTCTTTGCGCACGCCGCCAATGCATCGACGAAACACACATGGGTATGACAAGCACAGTATACCCAACAACATACAGAACATCAATAATACAATATACAATAGTCATCTCTTACTATATATATATACTAGCTTTTCGGCCCGCGCTTCGCGCGGGCCTCAAAGCTATTCCCCCGCCAATCAGCTTTTCGGCCCGCGCTTCGTTTTGGTGGATTGAGGTTTCGCAGCAACATCACTGGAGCCCCCACTTTAAGTCGAAGCTTGTGAGTGGGTAAACCAGGAGGGTTCAAACTATTTAGGAACTCCACGGGGTAATTGACAGCGTCATCTGTTTGTACCACCGAGTCTACAGATCTGTACTCCATTTCTATCTCGTCTAATGATTTAAGTAGAGTGTCATTAATAACACCAGCTTTATCGTTCTTAGGAGTCAAAATTGCACGCTCACACAACCAGTCCATAGATTTCTTTTTGATATCAACAATATCAGGGTATATTTTGTCAATAAGGTTAGCTAAGGTTGTCACTACTAAGCCTAAATCTTCTGGAATAATCACCTTTCCCTCAGACTCGGGATATTTTCCATCCCCTATTTCAAGTAGAATTTTCGAGAATTGCCCCGCGGAGACATCACCTTTCAAATATACCCTCATATTCTTTTTGAGAGAGAGTTTACAGATAAGAGACCATAAATATGATGCCTTAATGCATGCTTTAACCTCATCAGCTCGAGTTCCCCTTTGCACTACAGGCAAAGTCTGTCGGAAGTTTCCAGCCAGCAGCACAGTGACTCCCCCCATCACTCCATCGTTACCCCTAATATCTTTTAAGGTTGTACTCAATGCTTCAAAACCCCCTTTATGTGCCATGGTGCTCTCATCCCAAACAATGAGCTTACAGTCCCGCAACACTTGGGCCATGTTGCTTTGTTTTGAAATATTGCACAAGGGTGTTTCTACATAGTTTAGATTGAGGGGCAGCTTAAAAGCAGCGTGAGCAGTCTTGCCTCCCTCTAACAGCGTAGCAGCAATGCCAGAGGATGCAACAGCCAAGGCAATGCCACAATCACTTCTTACTTTTGCCAAAAGTAAATTAATGAGAAAAGTTTTTCCAGTACCACCTGGAGCATCTAGAAAAAAGACCTGACCAGCACTTAATTCAATACTGCTAAGGACCTGCCGATAGACAGCGAACTGCTCATCTGTTAGTAAACCCTCGTTATTCGACACCACTTGTGCTAAGATGTTTACATCATAATTTGTTTCTCTCAGATAATCCCGATTTCTCAAAACTTCTCCTAACCTTT